TGAGGCTCCTCTCTTAGCGCCCAGACGAGAGAAGGTGCATGGGCAAGGCCAGGCAGGAAACATGTGACTTATCAGTAACTTTAGACATCGTAACACAATTTTAACGAGATTTTATTGTAGATTATACATTTTTACTGATACACATTATATAATATTTACCTTTGTTCATTAAAAATAAAAATAAAAACATAATATTTTTTTAAACATATTTTTTTTTTTTATTTTAATTTTAATTATTATTTATTTATCATATGGAAGAGGTGGGGCGGGCCCCTAGCGCCCCTATGGACCGGCCGCCACTGTCAGTAACCTTATCTAAGTTTCAAAAATAAATCAATGTAACCTGATTACTTTGCATTACTTTTGGATTATCTCAAAACAAATGCAAGAGAAAATAAATATATTTAAGATATCTTTTAATAAAGTGTATTAGGTAAGTCAACAGAACATTGTGACTTAAGATAAGATAAAACTACAATATGTATGATAAAAATATGTCTAAATTAAAGCTAGTCCTACAGAATCATAGTTTACAAATGCTGTTTTAGTTTGACATTAATATAAAGCAAACACAGTATTTTTGTTTAATAAATCAGGTCTTACCTACTGCCTTTAAAAAAGTCACTCATCTGCAGTACCTGACCAACAGCAGGATGGAATGAAGAGCTCACATCACATGTTCTGTTTCAGCTCAGCCCGGTGAACCTGAGCCGTGCACGTGGCTGTCCCACTGTGCATGGCCATGGCCTGGACCAATGCAACATAGTGATGTCACTGCTGGTCAACCCTCACTGGAGGATACCAGTTAGTGAGCTTCAGAGTAATGCTGTGTCAGTCACATTTAACACTTGTGGTGCAGTGCGTGGATTCCACCGTGTAGTGTTTTCTCAAATGGCACACTGCTGCCGTGCCCCGATCATGGATGTATAAAGAGAACTGGATACAGCGTCGGAGGCGGGGCCTCATTTTTTCCAATGAGAGCTGTTCATTGGCGACTCTCGAGAGCAAAACATCACAAATGACCCTCATGCCTGGCTGTCAGAGCAGAAGTACCGTATGTAGCTCATAGAGCATGCGCAGTTTGTATTTTTTGGCCCAATGACATCACAGACTGACACAGAAGTTGTAGTACCACCGTTTGACCACTTCAATGTCCACCGCACTTTCCTGGGTGTCTGGCCCTCACAGGATGTGACAGTTGCCATTGTTAGCTAGCAACGAGGCATGGTGCATTTTGCCACACTTGGCATTGGCACACACGTATGCACTCAAAGCACGTAAATGCAGAAGTACACCAAAGACACAGCATTTGTCTCAGTGCAGGAGAGCAGGCCGGGCACCAGGCCACAGGAGGTCTGATCACATCTGGTGACAGGATTCTGAAGGAGTATTCACATATTTGGGTGTGTGTGAGTGTGTACCTGACACCTTCCGTTCACACACAGGTCAGTCATAGGGGCCACAGGGGGTCCCGTCCATCACTCTGTCAGACACCAGGACGGGGACATCTCGGCCCAGAGGGCTGCAGAACAACACACAGGGCTTATCTGCACACACACACCCACACACACACACACACACACACACACACACACAAAAAACACAACACACAAGCATGTGGTTAGTATAACTACTAGTGTAATAAAAGGCACAATAACAAACAATGCGGATCCATTCAGTGTTATTCAGAAACACAGAAAACTTGATTTATTAATGGGAGCACCTGCCAGTCATTGACTTGACATTTGAAACTACCTTTATTTACAATTTCCAAAGTACCAGCCTGTGGAGGTCATGTGAGGTCAGGTATGATGACTATCCACTCAAAGATGTATGTGACAGCTGTCGGGAACATACATCAGTGAGACAGCATTGGACAACAGACTGGTGGAGACCAGAGGCAAACAGCATCAGCTGTCTGTGATCACTGTGGTGTGCTCTCTATCACTGTTGGGTCTGCAGGGCAGAGACAGCGGAGGATACAGAGTGTGGGTAAAGGATGCTTATGGCAGAGCTTTGTTAAAGCTTAAATATCTCTAACATTCATTTCAATACTTAAGTATGCATCAGCTCTAACCGATACGCCTGCAGGAGAGCTAGGTGGCTAAGAGTGAGTTGGATGGTAGCCCGACAGGGGGGCTTACCTGTGGCTACTCAGCCTGGATCATGCCATTTGTCTATGACAGGTACGATACTAAACAATGACACCTTTGAAAGAAGTTAAAATATCAAGACAAGAGAAAAGGAATCAAACATCTAACATGGTATTACAATCACTGAAGACAATATGTGACAGACCGTGAGGAGAACGTACAACTGACTAGGATTCATTCATTCATTTGAGGATTGACTAGTGCACCAAAGAGTGCCTCAAGCTAACCTTAAAAACTGTGGGACCCTGTATCTCCAATCTGATGGAAACAATTCATATTCACTGTTTAAGCCATGGTTGTTGGTCAGCATCACGTTCATGTTATTATGGTCTGCTCATTCATAGAGGCTCTCACAGGGCTGACCTACAGTCTTTGAGCAGATGTTCTACTGGTGGAGCAGTTTTGATTTGAAAGCAGTGGACAAACAGGGTAAGCATGTAGTATTGTGATACTATAGAACAGACAAAATCACAGATGTAAAGAAAGAAGAAGAATTTGTCTACTCTCCCCAAAGGACCTAATACGGGGCGGGAAATAAATTCTGTGTTTTGTCCTTTACAGATATATTCTTTGTGTCTTTCCAGAAAGTAGATGGTCTATCAAACACAAGTATTTATATGGAAGTAGTACCTGCTTGATTTCTTTCATTATGGGTGATAATAGGGACTTTATGAAGGTTAGATGGGGCCAAAAACCATTTCCTTGTTGTCTGTGAGCATATTGTCTCACTCAGCCCAGGGTTGTCTGAGTTATTAACAGAGATATTAACATTGTATCCTCAGAAAGACTTAGAATGTATCGATTTGGGTGTTGGCACGATAGGTAAAGAAAGTCAAAAACACTAAGGTTGCATTTAATAATCATATTATTAAAATATTGTCATTATTTTGATTAATATTGTTAAAATCAGAGATATCCTAAATACGAAGTATCATTTGAGCTTATAGGCTTAGGCTTATGACGATTATAAAGGGAAATAAATCAAGAATAGGAAAAATGAACCACTACGTTTATTTTTCTGAATTCAAACAATATTGACATTAATGTTGAAATGAATGTTTTTAAGGATTGATAGAATGTGTATTAACCACCATCCTGGACCAATGAGCGTTGTTGAGTGATCAAAGGAAGGAGAGAGGAGGATTGATATTGGTCGACCCTTCAGAGACACATATTCACATCCTGTCAGAATAAAGCTCCTAAATCAAAGCGAAGCAGCTGTGATGACGTGAGCTGCTGAGAGACTCTGAGTAACTAAGAACTTTGAGTGCTCTGGATGAGAGTAAAGGAGTGTCTGTTTGGATCCGTATCAGTCCACTTTGGGAAAGCATGAGAAAACAAAGGAAGATGGATATCACAGGGATTGCAGGAAGTTCCATTCTATGACACCTGTGGTGAATTAGTCTCCACCCTCTGTGACCCTCTGACTCCTTAGCTGAATCACATGTCACACAAACACCTAAATAAGTGCACTGAAACTAGAGAATTTCGACTTCTGGACTGCAAAGGAATTAGCTCAGTTTATTTCTCTGTTATAAACTGTTGTCAAATCTCTTTGGGTAATATCTAATTTTTTAAGCGTTTAATCTTGTAATTTGAAAACTCCAGCTAGGGTTGTTATGAATGTTGAATGTTATAATAAGTGGCAGCAATTCTAACATTCAACCTGCAAAAGGCCACTGCTTTCTCTTCAGAGCAATGTTCAGGCTGGGGGAGTGCCTATCACAGCTGTAGTCCACTGAGTAATGAAGCCTGCGTCCTGATGAAGCAGCATGTTCTCATAGCGTCAGCATCAGACTCAGACTCGTCAGTCGAAGACACACAAAGACAAAGGGGTCTTGCAGGAGTCTAGTGGGGCTAACTCAACTTTAACTGGGCTAAGTATCAATTTGCGATTTTCCCCCTCTCCTTTTCAGACATGCGTTTACTTTCCATTCCAGTGCATGATTCTTCTTGTAGATATTATAGACCTCGCACAAATTCTGAGCACCATAACCTGTCCGCTCTAATCTCTACAACCTGCTCAACTCACAAACAACACCTTGTCACAGGAACCGCCAGTCTGCTACTCAAAAGACTGATTTTCATTTCTGGCTAAGCCTCCCAAGAATCGGTTTGGATAGACAACTCCCCCCCCCCCCCACTGCTCTGTCCACAGCCGACTTCACCCACCCACCCCGACCCTCTGCTAGAGGAGGCGGCTCTGGTCTTCTTATATCACTTACATGTCGTTTTTTTTGCTCTACCTAATCCCGCACTTAACTGCTTCTTTTGAATTTCACACTGTAACAATAACTATCCCCATTCAAATAATCATTGCTGTTCTGTACTGCCCACCAGGTCCTATGGGGGGATTCTTGGAGGAATTAGACACGCTACTAACTAACATCATGCGGTTCTTCTCTGTGACTTCAAGATCCAGACAGAGAGGTTCTTTGATTTACTTCTCCTGCTAAACTCCTTTATTCTCTCACCGTCTCCTTCCCCAGCTCCTCACAAAGCTGGCAATCTCCTAGAACTGATAATCACCAGAAAACTGCTCGACCTCTCTCCCCTCTGTAGCCTCACTTTCAACTCTTCTGATCGCTACTTCATATCCTACTCTCTCCCCATTTCCTCTAAAACTGTACCTGTCTGCTGTGACCTCCCCTCTCTCCCCCCTCTCAGCCCCCCCTTCTTCTGACTGTTTGCTACCTTGTGGCTCTGAACACTGATCAAACTATACACTCCAGCACGTACTCCCTCCACTGCGAGGTGGACCCAGGTGGCCCTCACAAAATAACGCATGTTTTTTGTCCTGGCCTCCAAAATGGGGCAAACTGAAACCCACCTGTTTTGCTGTACCTTGGCCATTACATGAATTCAAATACGTTTTTTTTTTAACTGTTCTGAGGTTGTATCTTTATGGTTTATTGCACTTATTGTAAGTCTCTTTGGATAACAGTTGTCAGCTGAAAGTAATCATGTTTACATACAAATGTATTGATGCCAAGTATAAATGGCATTCCAACTGTGACCTGTTATGTCTAGGATTGCTAACAAAAGCAAACAAGGTCTTTGTTGTTTCTCTCCTGCAGTGACAATCAATTGTCTCGTAAAGGAATACATTTCAGCAGGAAATTATGCGCACCTTAATGTGTGAAATCACACATTTTCAGCACAGTCTCTCTGTGTTTGGCTCTGTAAATACACAATCCCCCCATTAAAATTCTCCTAAAAATATAAATTGGTTATGCTATTGTTCAAAATGTTGGGAATTAAGGATGCTCACCTGAACCAACCAATAAACAAATCATCCGTGCACAATGGATTGCTTGTGTTTTATCTGAAGTATAAGGTCAGTTATATGATGTATTCTCAAAGGGGGGGGGTATTTAAATGTGTGTGTGTGTGTGTGTGTGTGTGTGTGTGTGTGTGTGTGTGTGTAGTGTGTTTGTGTGTGTGTGTGTGTGTGTTGTCTCACCATCATTGATAATGGCAGTCAGCATGCCACCCTTCTTCTTGCTGGCGTGCCGGTCGTAGGACAGACACTGCAGGTCTCTGAAGGAGGGGGTTCCTTTGGGACAAGGGGGGCGTTCACAGGCCTTGTGCTCCACACTGAGCTTCTGACAGTGTTGCCCCCCAGGACCAGGCCTAAAAACACACACACACACACACACACACACACACACACACACACACACACACACACACACACACACACACACACAACACACACACGACAACACACACACACATTCAGTTAAGGAAACTAGGAGATAGAAGGGTATTAAGGGTCTGTTAAATCACAGGTTTGTCAGTAGGTATGAATCATCATTTTGTTTGATTGTTAACACAATGCAAACATGATATGCAACAGTGTCAAGACTACAACAGGATCTTGAGAAAATTGAAAAGCTAAACAATGCATGCTTGTTTGAACGTTAATCTGGACGTCACATTAGACTCATTTTAGTTGGAGAGCTTTTCTTAAAGGCCGTCAGCAGCGTGGCATCTGCTCCAAAGATGGAGGACAATCATGCTTTGACAGATACACATGCGTTTGTTGTTTGCGATCCTATACAAATCATATGTAAAATACATCACATCCAATGCTAAGTTTTGTAACTTACCACATGATTGAAACATTTAGTGTGTGGTATACTCATGGGACAATCTGTTTATACATGTTAGTATTAAAGCAAACAGTTTTTTAAGAGAAAGTTGTCATTGTGTCAACAAGCATGTGGTGTAAACACAGTTGGATGAAGAGCTCCACTCTGCATGAAGATCTGCTACCAATGTTCTAGAGATTAACAATATAAACATCCGTTATGCACCTACTGTAAAGAATAGATATAAGCAGTATTTAATGCTTACTGATTCACTGTCCATCAGTTTGATACAACATGAATCAGCATTATGGTGCTTGTTTGGCTTTGACAGAAATGGAGGATTTTAATTAACTTCTCTCCAATCGTCACACGTGTACATGTAAACAGCACCACACATACAGTGAATGTAGGACTCTATATTTTATATCCCATCCTAGTGTAAAGTCTAGCTAATATATACAGTACCGTTGCTCAAGGGCACCTCTCATAGTGTCAGCCTACTCTCCACACTCTGGCGACCCTCCGGTTCTCAAGCTACTGCCTACAGACAGACCAGTAGGAGCCTGATAGATGAATGTATCACTCACCTTAAGCATGTTATCATAAATGTTCGAAATGTGTTGCTGTGTTTGAAATGTCACTGGCCTATTTTATTTGTATGGTCTTCAATTATTTTATTTAAAAATATATAAACGTTGCTGCTGTTCCCTCAGTTGTGTCAGCCGCTGTGTTTCCTGGTTGGAGCCCCACGGTTATCTGCAGGTTGTCCCCCTCCCATCGAAGGAAAAATATTGTTTGCATTGTTGTTGCTTTGAGGGAATATTTTGTAATAAACACGACACAGACGAACAGTGAGGGTGACATACGGAGGGTTGTCACATTTCCTCTGTCTGAACTGGACTCCAGTACCGCAGGTCCTGCTGCACATGCTCCACTGGCTCCACGGACTCCAGTCCCCGTCCACATGCTGGCGGGATGGGGGTCTTACTAACACACTCTCCTGCCCTGCACCACTGAGACACACACACACACACACACACACACACACACACACACACACACACACACACACACACATCACACACACAGATTAAATAATTTCAACTGCACTTCACAGTCAACATTATTGTAGGAGCAGCCTGAGAGAGGTGGGGGTCAGATTATGTGTGGTGGGGGTGCAGTGTGAGGGGGGGTGCATGGCAAGCCATGTGAGTATTTATTCCATATCCTTGATATCAGACGGCAGCTGCCTACACTAGTTGGCTCTCTGATTTCACTTGTTAGATATATGGTCAAACTAGGTTGGCACTCTGCTTTACTAGTTAAATAAAACATTATACTAGTCACTCTTTTTCAGCAACTAGTGGCACTTTTGTCTGACTAGTTACCACATAAGCCTTACTAGTGACGCCAGGAGCAGCACTAGTAGCACCAAAGTCCCAACTTGTAAGCTTTTTGATGAACTAGTGGCTCTCTGACCGTACTAGTGACACTAAAAGTCTTACAAGTTAACTAGTGCGCTGCAAAAGCTCTGACACTAGTTACAAAAAGAAGCAGAACTAGTTAACTAGTGGCATACATTTGTCTGCACTAGTTAACTAGTAACACCCAGAATCACTCACTAGTTAACTAGTAAAGGCAAAAGGTTCACTAGTTAACTAGTTGACGCCCTCTTTTGACCTTACTAGTTAACTAGTGGGGCTCAAAATGTCTACACATTAACTAGTGAACCCTTTGCCCTTTACTAGTTAACTAGTGAGATACATTGAAATTCAACTAGTGAACTAGTGAGGCTTAAAATGTTCACTAGTAGTACTAGTGGGTCCCAAATGCTCACTAGTCACACTAGTTGCACAGAATGCTAATGAGGAGGAGGGGAAAGAATGCATCGAGGTCTCCTATTGGCCCTAAGCTATACAGATGTAGCACCTAATTTAGGACAGTTTGAAACGCGAGGGCCGGGGTCTGCCCTCGCTCAAGGGAAAACCTCCAGCTTGACTTGAGACCGCCCCCGTGATAAATAAATGTAATTATAATGAAGCCAGCTGCAATGGATCATTGATCCACCAGGGGGTGCAGTGGGGTTCCACACTGGAGCTCATGTGAAATCAACTTCGATACAGTAAGCTGGATGTACAGTATGTCTGGTACTAATGTATAGCGGATCTTTGTTAAGATCCATATGTCACGGATAGGATCATAGTCTGTGCTAAATAAGACATGTAATCATTTACAAAACATCACCATGTTGTTATTTAACAAAATAATGTTGTTTAGTCGAAAAAAACGAACGAGAGGAAATGCAGCCGGCTCTCGATTTTTAATCCTAATTTAATCATCATCTTCACCACGATCATTTATGTTTATGTTCGCCGAATTGACATGAAATCACTGACAAATATGAATATTCTGTATTCAACTTCATTAAAACGTTATTAACGTGCCTAAACTCAGTAATTCACTAAACATATTTATATTTTAATGGAGCCTTGTCAGGCAGATCAGGATCCCGACGCGTAGCGCAGCGTTGCTCACTAGTGCAAAAAAAAGCCAAACTAGTTGAAGGAAAGGTCTTACATGTAAGACAAATGTGTAACATGTAAGGTCAAAGTCTAACATGTTCATAACAGAACCTGACTAGTGAGAAAAAATGCCCTCCACTAGTTAACTAGTAAGAAAAACATCTGTGTCACTAGTTTACTAGTGACTCCTCTAAGGCTTCACTAGTTAACTAGTGAGATAAAGTGTGTGTAACTAGTTAGCTAGTAAGGTAAAAACAATTGTACTAGTGCATCTAGTGGACAATTTGGACCTCACTAGTTAACTAGTGCACATTTTGAGCCTCAATAGTCAGCTTGTAAGACCAAAACAAGCTTCAACTAGTTAACTAGTGAACATTTTGCCTTCACTAGTTAACGTGTAAGCTGCAATATGTATCCACTAGTTAACTAGTTGTCGTTCATATGGCCAACACGTTAACTAGTCAGCCATATGCAAATGAAGCAGGCGGGACCCAGATTCTGATTGGTCAGTTCAGCTCTGTGAGGGAGAGCCTTAGGGGGCGTTCTCCTGCAACGTTTTTAGCAACGTCTCGAAGACGTGAGGTGCATCAGTCGGGTATTTAGTGCCTACTGTTAACATATTGTCTGTGGGAAGTCAGTCAGTGTGTGTTTTACCTAGAAAAATACATGTTTCTGTTTCTGCTTTGTTCCGCTTTGTGTGTGTGTTTTTGTTGGTGCGAATGTGCGTATGCTTGTGTGTGAGAACACCGGCACTCGAGACACAAAAGTATATGATCGTGGGACATTTTATAAGCGGTGCTCATGAAATGAATAAAGCAGAAACACTGGACAGATCTTAAAATCAGGATAACGATAGATCCGTATGATAAACAACCTCTCCATATTTTGCCTTAGGCTAATATTTACGGAAGTCACGGCGATCTCTCAAAGCTGTGATCAGAAGAGGGTAACTTCCTCTTTCTATCCATCACTAATGTCACTCTGTTATCACAATGCTATTCTAATCCAAGAACCTTTGAAATTGCAGCTTAATAAATGTTTTAAAGAGGATCTATATTCCTGTCTGCAGTCCTAAGGCAACTTTCTAATTTTAACAAAGTCTTCAATGTTCTTACCTAATTTGATAAACAGTCATATGATCATAATTACAAAAATACTTTTGTTTTATATTTTTGTAAATATGGTCATATGACTGTATTTTAAAACACAGTGTATTTAAGCTCTTAAAGAAACTATTTGGGCTGGGTGGCGCTCTATAGCTTAGGGCCAATAGGAGAGCTCGATGCATTCTTTCCCCTCCTCCTCATTAGCATTCTGTGCAACTAGTGTGACTAGTGCACATTTGGGATCCACTAGTACTACTAGTGAACACTTTAAGCCTCACTAGTTCACTAGTGGAATTTAAATGTGTCTCACTAGTTAACTAGTAAAGGGCAAAGGGTTCACTAGTTAACGTGTAGACATTTTGAGCCCCACTAGTTAACTAGTAAGGTCAAAAGAGGCGTCAACTAGTTAACTAGTGAACCTCTTGCCTTTACTAGTTAACTAGTGAGTGATTCTGGGTGCTACTAGTTAACTAGTGCAGACAAATGTATGCCACTAGTTAACTAGTTCTGCTTCTTTTGTGTAACTAGTTAACATGTCAGAGCTTTTGCAGCGCACTAGTTAACTTGTAAGACTTTTAGTGTCACTAGTACGGTCAGAGAGCCACTAGTTCATCAAAAAGCTTACAAGTTGGGACTTTGGCGCTACTAGTGCTGCTCCTGGCGTCACTAGTAAGGCTTATGTGGTAACTAGTCAGACAAAAGTGCCACTAGTTGCTGAAAAAGAGTGACTAGTATAATGTTTTATTTAACTAGTAAAGCAGAGTGCCAACCTAGTTTGACCATATATCTAACAAGTGAAATCAAAGAGCCAACTAGTGTAGGCAGCTGCCGTCTGATATCAAGGATATGGAATAAATACTCACATGGCTTGCCATAGTGTGTGAGGCGCTCCTACCTTGTCTGCTCCACACTCTGTTCCATCCAGAGGAGCGTCCAGTTTGGTCTTGCAGGAAGCATCTCCCTCGACTAAACACCACAAGCCTGCACACATCAGGTGCTGATGACACACACACACGCACACGCACACGCACACACACACACACACACACACACACACACACACACACACACACACGCACACACACGCATTCATGTGAGTTGTCACATAAATGCCGGGGTTCACATGAGAAATGTAGCATCAGAAACATATTTTATCCAATTACTCATGTCATCGCTCATATTTTTGGAGCATTGACTGGAAACAAAAACATTTTAAAGGAGCTGATGTTAACTACATCTCTTCTCTTAGAGCTGTAATGTTCTGTAGGATAATACTTCAAGTGTGAATCTATACGCCTACTGCCTGAATCTGCTTTATGGTTTTCACTTTCTTTGCTTCATTTGTTCAGTTTTTAATTCAGCAGGTGAACCTATATGATCATAAAGTAGTGTGTGTGAGCTTCACTGTGTGCATTAAACTAAAACGGAGCATTTTCTGTCAGCTCAGATTTGATTCCTGCTTCTTTAAACTGTAGTGATGCTGTGGCGCAGTGGACTAGTGCGTTGGTGTTTGGATCAAACCCCACTGCAGTCAGCATGTCGTTGTGTCCCTGAGACACTTCACCCCAAATTGCTCCTGTGGGGATTGTCCACAGTATTGAGTATGTAAGTCGCTTTGGATAAAAGCGTCTAACAAGTGACATGTGATGTAATGTAGAATGTGCTCATGTGTTTCAGTGTTGGTGTATAGCAGGGGTCGGCAACAGGCGGACCCAGACGCCGACCTATACGGACCCGGACCTATAATCAATACATTAATAGGGGATTTCAATTTTGACGGGGTGATTCTATTTTAACCGCTGCCGACAGGGGGCGAAAGAGACGAGTGAGCGATACAGGGAGAGAAACACAGAAGAAGAAATGAGTGAGCGATACAGGGAGAGAAACACAGAAGAAGAGATGAGAGAGCGATACAGGGAGAGAAACACAGAAGAAGAGATGAGAGAGCGATACAGGGAGAGAAACACAGAAGAAGAGATGAGAGAGCGATACAGGGAGAGAAACACAGAAGAAGAGACGAGTGAGCGATACAGGGAGAGAAACACAGAAGAAGAGATGAGAGAGCGATACAGGGAGAGAAACACAGAAGAAGAGACGAGCGAGCGATACAGGGAGAGAAACACAGAAGAAGAGACGAGAGAGCGATACAGGGAGAGAAACACAGAAGAAGAGACGAGAGAGCGATACAGGGAGAGAAACACAGAAGAAGAGATGAGTGAGCGATACAGGGAGAGAAACACAGAAGAAGAGATGAGAGAGCGATACAGGGAGAGAAACACAGAAGAAGAGACGAGTGAGCGATACAGGGAGAGAAACACAGAAGAAGAGATGAGAGAGCGATACAGGGAGAGAAACACAGAAGAAGAGATGAGAGAGCGATACAGGGAGAGAAACACAGAAGAAGAGACGAGAGAGCGATACAGGGAGAGAAACACAGAAGAAGAGATGAGTGAGCGATACAGGGAGAGAAACACAGAAGAAGAGATGAGAGAGCGATACAGGGAGAGAAACACAGAAGAAGAGACGAGTGAGCGATACAGGGAGAGAAACACAGAAGAAGAGATGAGAGAGCGATACAGGGAGAGAAACACAGAAGAAGAGATGAGAGAGCGATACAGGGAGAGAAACACAGAAGAAGAGACGAGTGAGCGATACAGGGAGAGAAACACAGAAGAAGAGACGAGCGAGCGATACAGGGAGAGAAACACAGAAGAAGAGACGAGCGAGCGATACAGGGAGAGAAACACAGAAGAAGAGACGAGCGAGCGATACAGGGAGAGAAACACAGAAGAAGAGACGAGAGAGCGATACAGGGAGAGAAACACAGAAGAAGAGACGAGAGAGCAATACAGGGAGAGAAACACAGAAGAAGAGACGAGAGAGCGATACAGGGAGAGAAACACAGAAGAAGAGACGAGAGAGCGATACAGGGAGAGAAACACAGAAGAAGAGACGAGAGAGCGATACAGGGAGAGAAACACAGAAGAAGAGACGAGAGAGCGGCAGAGAGAAGCGGAGAGGAGAGTGAACAGGCGTGTTAGCGACAGACAGGGAGAGACAAATAATTACACATGGCGCTCTCCAAGAAGAGGAAAGTGAGGGACTGCAATATACGAGGGAAAGAAAGAGAAACTTTAAAACTGTTCAATTGTTATGATGTGTAAAGACTGATATTGTTCTATAATCGTCTGAAACTGTTAAGTCATGATGTGAAACGGTTAACAAAGAAAAAGGGAAACTCAAGCTGCTGCTACACTTTATTTTATTTATCTAATATTAAGCACTTTTAAGATGCACATATTTTCAAAAGCTATTTTATTTATTTTCTCCTATTTTATTTTTAAATGCAGCCCGAGAGGAACATTACACATATCCACAGTATTTACTGTATATCTGTATAGTTCAATGTTCATTGACAATAAATATTGTTGTTTATGAATTGTACTTTCTTTATTTGATTGGCAGTCAGTTGTTGATTACATGCAGACGTTGATAAAGCTACAGGCTACTTCAATATATATCACACTAATTAATAAAGCAACTTAGACATTTTGATGTTCCGGACCTTTGCATGGGGACATTTTCTCTAACTGGACCTTGTTGAATTTGAGTTGAATACCCCTGGTGTATAGGCTGCTGCCTGCATATGCTGAAGGAAAGGCAGCTTTTACTATGAATACAATATTTTTTCATCCTAAATATCTGGGTTTCTTCTTTTCTAAGGTCACATTGTTCTGTTGTCTAACATAATACACTTCAGTTTAAAACATCTTAGTGATTTTTTATTTCTCTTTTATTCATTTATTTGCATTGCATTTGATATTGAGGTAATCCAAAGTAATGGAGTAACTACTTTTATATAGTGATAATCAGATTAGGTCACTGATTACATTTTTTACAGGTAACTAGTCATTGTAACAGAATACATTTTGAAAGTAATCCTCCCCACCGTGCTCACATTGTTAGCCACTTTACAATCCACAGTCTCTGTCCCTATCGAACTCAAACAGGGCAGGCAATACACATCTTTATTCTAAATGCAGTATATATAGAGTCGTTTCAATGGCTCCACAGATCAATTATGGGCTCTGCACAATTATGTGTCAATATATTTGTAGAGATATGTATAATGTTTGAACTTATTTAAATATATGCATACACTAACAGAGAGGAAATAGCTAAAAAGAACCAGCCCTCAGTTTAGCCTTTTACCAAAAAAGATGTCATCATTTACCTCTTCTCCTTTTGTCTTTTGATTATTCAATAAAACTCTCTTTTGACGTTTCACATTGAAGACCTTCCAGGACAGGGAAGGATTAAAGGATATGTCCTAGGAGAGGTTCAATGGAAAACATCTGCTGAGTTCAACAGCAAACAGTATTATAATACAGAGTTTATCATTATTAAATTAGGGGAAAGTACAAATAAATACATAGTTTAACAGTGGGTCTGCTTCAAATGAAACGTTTTTTTTCTTGTTAATGTAAATAAATACCTGTATCTGAGAGGGACGTTATGTAGTATGGTTTTGCATAAGTTGAATCCTGTGGCAGCACACTAAATATAGCTGTCTGCAGGAGAATACAGTGAACAGGACACTGCTTTACTCTGAATATGACTTTTGAATCAAATGACAGGCCTGATGCTGACTGCCAGCTGGATTCACTCTGCAGCAGACTCCTTAATATCAGGTTCAGTCACACTGGTCCTAACGCTGGAATCTCAAGCATTTTAACAACAAAACCTGAGGACGCCTCAGAATCCGCTCTGTACACACACTGCACAACCACTGTATACATTACATGTGAAGGTTAGCTGAACACTCTCCACAACACATGACGCTGATCTCAGATACAGAACTTTAAGAAGGAGGTTCCACTCAGCACACCTTCTGTCCCTGCTATAGCTGACTGCTGAGCACTGTGTGTAGATGTGTGTATACACGTGTACGTAAGTACTCCCCATGTAAAACCTGAGAGAGCAGATGGGAATTAACTGCCATCTGATATTTACTGTTTGATATTACATTACATTACATGTTACATGTTAGACGCTTTTATCCAAAGCGACTTACATACTCAATACTGAGCAATTTGGGGTGAAGTGTCTTGCCCAGGGACACAACGACATGCTGACTGCAGTGGGGTTTGAACCTGTGACCCCCTGATCCGTACACCAAGGCTCTAACCACTGCGCCACACGCCTCCATATATATAAACCTCTGCAGATAGAGAAAGGCTGTGGGGAATGGCAAATGACACCATCATGACATCACATGTGACTTTTCTAAATCATCAAGTACCCTGACTAAGAGAGCAAATGAAACACCAGCCCAGCATTCCTACATGGATTCATGTGACATCTTTCATTTGTAGGATTCCTTCTCCAGTTTCTACACTGACATGTCAATGGATAGATATTTTATGATTTTTTGCATTGGTGTTATAACCTTTTTCTCCCCATGCCAACATATATGCACTGTTCTTTATACTCTGCTCGTAATGTTTAATGGATTGTACAGGTAGGTTAATTAATATCTAATAGAAACTGAATAACATTTAATACTAGGACGAACAGAGTGTTGTACCTCCATGTCGTTGCAGAAGGTGGCGTTGGTTCCAAATAGGATCTGGCACTGCTCGTCCACGCTGTAGTGCATGCCCGGCAGCTTGGGGGGGAGTCTCACTTGGTAGCGGCTCCGGGGGTCCGTGTGCAGGAGGCAGGCGCTGGCTTTGGACCTGCTTAAAGACACAAGAGAGGGACAGGCTACAACAGGCTGACCAGGGAACTGTTTCCTTTGTCATCTAAATCGAAAAGACACTTTTATTATATATATACCATATATAATATATCTATATATTAGATTTGGACAACATTGGTCTGAGAACAAAATGAGCCTTGATGGTGACGTTAAAGATATACAGGCTGAGCTAAAGTAAAGACTTCCTCTCGTGTCTTCCACAAATATCTGCTCTTTGTTTGTTTTCACAGAGCCCAAGGATTATTTTCCAGCATTTATTTTAAACTTCAAAAATGCTGTTTGCATAATCATAAAAAAAATAAGAATAATAAATCAAATCCAATCAGAACTGATCTGGAGTTGACCATAAGGCAACTGGCTGGGGCCTCAGGTTCTATATAGATATACTAATGAGTGTTGTTTACATAAAGAACTACATATACTGCATGTACTGAATGGTTAACTGGCTGTGATGCAAGTCAAATTTCAGACTTGATCTGACCATTAAAGTATTATTGTACCTCTTAACCTGTTAACCTGTTAAGCACCAAGCCTGTTTTTCATGTTTCAGGCTCGAAAATGACATTCCCAGAACAAATGACCATATCTTCCCTTCTAAAAGGGTTAAATTAATAATCTTTTTTCTCAAAGTAATGATAAACCTGTGAGTTGGATGTAGAAAAGTCAGAATCAATATAGATGTTTTTTATTTTAAAGAAAATTCAGATTGAACATAGTAAAGAACTGTAAATTATAGTGTCCGTCCAAAAATTATTTTAAAACTATCCTTGGATGATGGTAAGGTAGACTAAAAGCTTTAGGAATCCAAAGTACAACATATAATAAGTACCCTGTATCAAGATTGATGCAAAACAAGTGAAATTTGACCTTTTTAGAGAGATTTAGCAAAAAAAACCCACTTCTGGGGTCATTTGGGTGGATTTTCCATATCTCTGGCCCCCCTTGGTCGATTTTGATGAATGAAATATCTTTATAACCGCTAGAGCCAATGGAATCGAGGGAAAGTTCTACACACCCCAACACGTTAACAAATAAGGAGTGAGAGTGACGCATGGCCAAAACCGGAAGCAGCATACACTCTGTTGGCTACCATTAGCAGCTAACTTTTTTTCTCCGATTTTTACATAAAAATTGAATTATGGATTATAAATAATTTTTTCAAAGCGACAGATACATTATTAACCTATGGATCAACCGATTCAGCCGCGTTTTTTCTCGTTTTAATGCCATTGAACACGTCTTTTGATCAGATTGACAGCTACGGTGAGACGATCTCCCGTAAAAGCTCCGTAAAGGTACGTGTTGTGATGTCTGTGTTTGCTTCCCCTGTCGCAAGTTCGGATCGCTCAGTGATGATACTATACCTATATAATCTGTGGAGTCTCAGCTTTAATCGGATATATTGTATGTGCAGTTACGATAAGTAATAAGGGTATCTTTATCTTGAGTTCTGTGCTAAGTGCGTTAGCATTTTTTCGCTTAGTGCTAATTCAGAGGCTTGGTATTACCCTTGTGTTTTGTTTTGGTAAAAATTCATTTAATTTCATTTCAAACCTTTATTTAACCAGATTGGTCCCATTGAGATCATAGATCTCTTTTTCAAGGGAGACCTGCAGCAATTAGGTTCCACATGAAACATAAAACAATAAAGGACATCATAAATTATATTTACAGGATACATTTACATAGTTATAGACATTTACAAGTACCCATAGTATCAACGAGCATTTCATTTAGCCTAGCTTTAAAAACATGGAGAGGAATGAGATTGCTCAGTTTCAAATCTTGCTGAAGATTGTTCCAAGCAATTGGAGCTGCGCACATAAAAGCTGTCTTACCTAAGACAGTCCTTGCTCTTGGCACATCTAACAAGACTACATCATGCGATCTCAGACAATAGCTACCTGCAACTCTCTGTGTTATCAGTGAACAGATATAATACGGGAGTTTACCCAACAAAGCTTTATAAATAAATGTGTACCAATGACTGAGCCTCCGTACAGTAAGTGATGGCAAACCTGCCTTGGCATACAGTGTACAGTGATGTGTAAGTGCTTTACAATTTGTGACAAATCTCAGTGCGCTGTGATAGGCGGCATCTAACTTGTTCAGGCAATGGGCAGGTGCATTCATATACAACAAATCACCATAGTCCAGCACAGGTAAAAAGGTCACAGAGCCTTTTCCTGGCCTCAAGTGAGAAACAGGACTTGTTTCTGAAAAAGAAACCTAGTCTAACCCTCAGCTTTTTAAGCAGGTTATTGACATGAAGTTTAAAAGTAAGACAATCATCAAGCCAGATACCTAGGTATTTATAACAGGCAATCACTTCTAGTACTTGTCCTTGCATAGTAACAATATCTAAAACAGGCTCTGGTGTCTTTTTAGCTTTTCAAAAAAGCATTACCTTGGTTTTATCAACATTTAAAAGAAGCTTAAGTTCAGAGAGCTGAGTCTGAATAATGTTAAAAACAGCCTGTAATTTAACAACCGCCTCCTTAATCGAGGGACCTGCACAGTACATCACGGTATCATCCGCATAAAAATGTAAAGTAGCTTCATCCACATTTTCACCTAAACTATTGATGTAGATGGAGAATAAAAGTGGACCTAAAACAGAACCTTGAGGAACACCATTAGCAATGTTTAACCACTCAGAAGACAGCCCATCAAAGTGAACACATTGGGACCTTTTAGAGAGGTAGTTCACAAACCACCCCACTGCATGGCTGGATAAGCCAATACTGAGTAGCCTCTGCTTTAAGATGCGATGATCGACTGTGTCAAACGCTTTAGAAAGATCAATAAATAGAGCTGCACAACTCTGCTTATTATCTTAAATACTCGTAATGTCATTCACCACTTTCATTGTGGCAGTGATGGTGCTATGTTTCTTTCTGAAGCCTGACTGATGTTTAGACAGGATATCATTTTTACATAAAAACTCCTTAACTTGTTCACTCACTAGGCGTTCAAGAACCTTAGCCAGAACTGATCATTTAGAGATTGGCCTATAGTTATTTAAAATAGTTGCTTCCCCTCCTTTTAGCAAAGGCAAGACATAAGCTGACTTCCATACTTTTGGAATTGCATTTGTGCTGAGGGAGAGGTTAAAAAGAGTAGTGAGAGGTGGAGCAATAAAATCTGCAGCTATCTTTAAAAAGAAAGGTTCTACGTTGTCTGGGCCGGCCGATTTCTTAGGATCTAACTTAGATAATGCTTCATGAACAACATTAACAGTAAAAGGAGTAAAACTGAAAGGGTTTTCCAGACCACATTGTTCAGAGTCACAGACTGTGGTGTTCACAGAAGCAGAGTTAGTCACAGAATCAAACAGAGAGCCACAGGACACAAAATGCTCATTAAAACAATTTAACATGGTGGCCCTGTCCGATATAGAGCCAGATGCTGTGGTAAGGCACGGAGGTAGCTCATTACGGATATCACCGGTGGATATCGATTTTATGGCTTTCCAAAATTTCCTAGGATTATTTAGGTTTTCTGTAGTAACTGACAAATAGTACTTCGACTTAGCACTGTAAAAATTTACCAGCATTTCACTACATTTAACAGTATTATTTTACAGTGACATATTGTAATCAAGGCCCCCTATAATATCCCAACAAATACATGTAAAAAGGACTGTATCCTTGGATTTCACAGCATTTAACTATTATTTCACAATAAAATACTGCAATCAAAATCCTCTGTAATATCACAACAACATTGTAAACATTGCAAGGATTTCACAGCATTTAAGAGTATCATATTACAGAGAAATATTGTAATAAAAAGCCCCTGTAATATCACAACAATATTGTAAACATTGCAAGGATTTCACAGCATTTAAGAGTATCATATTACAGAGAAATATTGTAATAAAAAGCCCCTGTAATATCACAACAAAATATCTATAAAACTACAGTAAAATTGGATTTGACATTATTTAACTATTATTTCACAGTAAAGCACTGTACTCAAAATCATCTGTAATAGCACAACCCATTACTGTAAAATTTGAATTGTGCAGCATTGCACATGTGCAGAATAGACTATTCTAACCAGCGTGTGTCCTGCAGCATAGCCTACTTCTCAAACCGTCTGGAAGATTTGAACTGAGACATTCTATACACTGTAAAAAAAGATCCTAATTTTACAGGAAATAATTATTTTTTTATAGTAATTATGTTTTTTTAAATAACTTGCAAAATCCCGTAAAATTACAGATATGAACTATAAATTAACAACCCAAAACAGTATTTTAAGTATTTTGACAACAACAAATAACATTTATGGAGTGCAGCGCTTCGCGATTGTCAACGGGGGGGGGGTGGCGTCAGTGGAGTACAGCGCTTCGTGATTGTCAACGGGGGGGGGGGGGGGGGGGGGGGGGGGGGGGGGGGGGGGTAGTAGAGTACAGAGCTTCGTGACCGCGGAGCGTGTGAACGTTGTGATCAGCTGTTTTAGCGCAGGCCTGCTGTACAGACCGACGTTAACAGCAGCCCTGTCTGTGCACACGGAGACCGACTCTGTCGTCCGGTGAACTAACCGCCTTCTGGAAAAGCTTCAGATTTACGTCGGTACGCAAATGCGCTTTGTGACACAAGTGACGGTACGCATTTCAGATTGTTGCCGCGCATGCGTACCTGCGTACCAGTTATGTGCACCCCTGAGTATAATGTATGGTTTTCGGATTCTGGCCGACAGCCAGAGCTACGGCACTTGAAATAGAATTCAGCCAAACACGGCAGACAAGTCAGGCATGTTTGGAATGAGTCCACAACACTCCTGATTGGTTAATATAAACGTCATCGAAGAAACCTGCCAATGAGAACTGTCTGCGCCTGTCGTTCACATTTGAAACATCCACGTCAGTTTGAGCGGGTCTCCTGTATTTCTGCTGCAGGAGTTTATGGATTAATATCGGGATCGTTTTATATCTACACGTTAAATATGAGCATCGGGACGTCGTCAACA